TCATATCATATACTCAGTATAACATTTTCTCCCAGGGTTTCCAGTGCTCCCTGTCAGTGACCATTCCATATAGAGATGCTCTGTCTCTATATTTATCTCCGTCTCTAACCCTGTCTGATTGGACCAATCATCCATTTGTCTTATTCCAATTCTTATTCTTAGTGCAGCAGCCGGTCATTTGATTGGGTAAAACACCATCCTATCAGCTGCAGAGAGCTCAAATGTAGTAGAAATTATATAAACTAAAGTAGATGTAAAAATACTTTAATGCAGCACATGCACTTTTGTAGTAAAGTAAATTTTCCCCGAGATCGGGACAAACCGAGTCCGTCCTGCGTCAGCTCGTCTCTGCGTCTTGTCTCTAAGTCGTGCTAAGGTGTCGTGCGGGGCGGCGGTGGGATCAGCAGGCTAATGATGACAGCATCGTGCTAATAATGGCTGGGAGTAGCTCCTGTGACAGTGAGGTGTGTGTTAAGTGGGACATGGGAGCAGCCTGACTCACCCGGACCCCCTGCTTCCCAATAATGAGAGTTTGATGGAGTGGTTGTGCAGGTAGATAATGCTAAGTTAATGAGATGTCCTATTCCATGAGGCTGTTTGCAGTTCCCCACAGAGTAGCGATGTGTGTGTGCGCGTGTGTGTGTGTGTTGATATATGTTGCTGTCTGCTTCTGTATTTGTCTGTAGCATCTTCCCTTTGTTTGTGAGCACTATATATTGGCTTCTACATTATGCTGCATTCCACATGGGACGTTAAGAGAGACTCTGTCATACTGAGCTAAATTGTGGCAACCATAAAAATGTTGTGAGAGCTGCAAAAATAAGCTTTTATGTTTTGTTTTGTTTTTTCAAATCATGAATAGGTAGGAGATTTTTGTGTTCCATTGAAAACAATTTACTTTATTAAAATTAAGTTGAACAAAAGCTTTTTTCAGATAAGTGCGAGAAAAGATACGTTATATTGGGTACACAGTGGACTTGTAATTTAATCCCAATCTGCTGGGTCTATGACTGTGGTAAAAAAAGTCTAAAGACCTGAAGAAAACCAACATAAACATGTACACACACAAGCGAACAACATGCAAACTCCATGCAAAGACCATTGGTTAAAATTGGGAATCAAACTGCTGATGTTCTTTTGTAAAGCAAAAGCACTTCCTATCCTGACACTTTAGCTCTTACAAACTCATAAATCAAGTCAGCAGTGAAAGTAAAAAACAACTGCAACAGAAGTAGAATAATAATTATTTCAAATTCTTTAACAATTCCAGAAATGGCTGTTAATGATGAGTCTGTGGGCAATGAAGGTTATATTCATAAATTATAGCCGTGAATGAATTCTCTGTAAATATGAGCTCCTGGATTGACTGATACCAAATCACATAGACTGAATATCGGCAAACTAACGACATTGTCGACATTGTTTCTTTTCCGTTTGGGAACTTGTTGCGAGGGCTATTTCTGGATAGTGTTTATTAAAAATTATTTTCTTTGTGGAAATGCTGACCCCTGCTTGTGCGTGTAGGACAGAGAAATGCCATTTATTATTTTTTAATCCAGCAGCGACAACAGACTCCAGTAGACAGGAAATGAAGTGTCACTTTTCTAAAAGAGTGACAGAGCAGAAAATATCGTTAGAGGAGGCAGGAATAATGAAAGGAAAATGGTGGAAAGGTAATAAAAGCGGAGAGAGAGGAGAAATACAGCGGTTGTTGAACAGTTGGCTCACTGAGCACGTTAAAAAAAAAAGAAAGTAAAATTCTTCGGCTGAAGAAGGGGTGAGGATATGGCAGAGTGGGGGATAATCACTTCTCTCATGGCAGGTACATGTCTCTAATTGGTCGTCCTGCTCACATTTCTCTTTTCACATCCCCCTCTTTTCTCCCATTTCCCATTTCCTTTTGAGACAATGCAGTGAGAAAACATGGCTTTCTTTCCTAATTAATCTAAATATAATGATGGCTCCCACTCTGGACCTCTGCCCCTGCAGAATGTTGATTAAAGCTGTGTGTGTGTGAGCGTGTTTGTGTGTGCGGGTCAAGGGTAGGGATGAGTCTAGCCCATTTTTCCATAATGATCCTGAACATACAGTTCTGCATTTATGCATATTTATAATTATACATCCATTGTTCCGTATCCTTCTATGAATAGAGCTGATGATCCCTGTATTTCCATTATAATGATTCCATATGTTTTCCATGGAGGTAATAGCTAATCTGCATTTTGACTTTAACCTGAACAGATACACTATATAAATAATCTCTCCTTGTCCCTTTCCTTCCGTGGTATTTTATTCACCATCATTGTTGTCAACGGTAAATTTTCTAGTTTTTCCCTCCTCACATTTCCCTCAAACCTTATCTGTCTAATGTTGACATCATGAAGAAACTTCCTCTTGGCTCCAGCTCCCATAAACACCTCATCATTCTCTTTCGGAACCAAACATCACAGCTCTGCAAACGCCTTCTCGTGCCTGATGTTATCATCCGAGCCTCGCTGTCTTACGTTAGAACAAGGTAGACGTAGCAATTCAGTGACCGTATGCTAGTGCTCCTGCTAACTCTGCGACTAACGAGCTCCAAAAGTAAAATAAAGGCAGAGAGCCTGCAATGCTGAGGCAGCTGCTGTACTGATCTGTGAGGAGTAAAATATTTGAGGAACTAAAGCTCAGAAATCTTACAGTTTGGTCTGCAGATGTGCGATTGGGAACAAAGTGACGCTTTCTAAAAGCAGGGAATCAAAGAACTGTTTGGGAAACAAAAGCTTTGAAGTGTAAATGTGAATTCAGCTGACACACCAAGACAGTTTGGTTAATTTGATCACAAACCTCCGAAGATACTTTGAGTAACAGCCTGCATTTCCTTTAGTCTCATGACAGTTTCTAGGAAAGTGATTGTAGTGTTCATTGTTCTTACTGGAAGCTAAGTTGTTACCCTGATATTCCACTGGGAGCGTTACAGCAGCGGCCCAAAGCCTTGCGAGCCTGCTGAATTTGCACGGCAACATTAGATTAAGGAATAATTCTGAAAGAAAGCAACACCACGAGATTCTGGGATAGACGTATGTTACCGTATTAAAGACACAACAACAACCACCAGTTTACCTTGTCTCTGTGGAAGAGCCCTTGTGTATCTGGTGGTTTTCCACTTCATGCATGAGTCTCTCCTTGTCCATGGTGAAAATCGACAGTGCGTGTGCCTTCTGACCTGGTGTCGTCAGCTTTGATGTATAAGGCTGTGATTTCTGATCTTCACACTGTGTTTATTTTGAAGAATGATGGACGATTTTGAAGGACGACTGAAGTTGTGTGCTGATACCGCGTGTAATTTACAATCTGATGTGATTTGATCCGTTTAAATTGACTCGGTATCTGTCAAAAATAGACCTGCTACCTATCCAGTCCACTGCAGTGCCGCGTGCAGTTCCGCAGCTGATGGAATAACTCCCACTGATTATAATGGCAGCTGACTGTAGCAGTAACTGCATCGCAGTCTTAACACATCCAGTGGCATATGGAGGTTAGCCAAAGGGAAGGGTGTGATTAGCTTATACATTTAGCCACCTTAATGAAAAGGCACAATTACCTGAAACCACTGGTATAATTGTGAAGAAAAGCCGAGCATTTGATCCACTGGTGAGAACATGTGACCTGCCGTTGGCAACAAGACCCTCACAGGTGTGAGAGAAGTGGGTCACTTTAGTCAAACAACACTAATTGGTTTGCAGGATGGCACCGGGGGGTCAGCGTGGCATCTCTGAGCAGAGCGGAGTTTATCCCTGAAGCCGAGTGCTGTTCACGGCCAGGCCAGCGGGTTAGCATTCAGACCACGTTCCTGCCTGCAGCAGTAATGAGAAGTGTCTCGCTGTTAATGAGATAAACACTGACATTAGTTCAGCTCAGCAGGAGCATGGAGAGAGGGGAGAAAAGAGAGGAGGTTAAAAGTGAGGCAGAGGAGTCGAGAGAATTTGGAGGAAGAGACGCTCTGGTAATTTCCAAGTTGTCAAAATGAGCTTTGTTATGACTGCATGTTTTTGAGAGAAGCCGTGCAGCAGGATCTAAATGATAACGATGTTAGCCCTAAAAGCAACACAGGTCGTAAAGTAGAAGCTACATTAACAGACAGAAACTGTAGTATTCATGTTTGTGTGCAGCACAGCAGCCACACAGCATTATGTTGACGTCCTAACGAGGACTCAGTGTGGTCTGTCTGCACCTGCTGTGATTTTAAATCCATATTTTTCATCAAAAACACTGTTTCTCCTTTCTGGCTAATGAATGTGTTGCAGTTGGAATTGGAATACAGAGACGTGTGTCTGTGTGTATGTGCAGATGCACATGTGAGTGTGTGTTGTGTACTGTGTTTGTGAGGTAGATCCGGTTTCTTGCATCAACCCCTCCAGGGTGAAATTCATAAAAAGTCTGCGCCGGGATCTGGTTTAAGCCCGTAATCCTCCGCTTCAAAATAAGAGCGTTCCTGCAGAATTACATACCTGAGGTTTCAGGATCATTAAAATAAACAGGAAGTTTCAGGAATAAGCTCCGACAAGCTCAAGAGTGAAAGTCCACGAGTCATGTGTGTTATTTAAAGACACAGTTGAGGTTCGTGTCAAAGCCTCGACCACATTTCTCGCCTCATAAAAACATTGATTTTACATGAAATGCCATTGCTGAGAGCTGAGTTGAACTCAACTTAATAAATGACCTTTAACCTTTTTGGGCCAATTCAGCAGTTGTTCACCCGTTGCAAATGTGTGAAGTTTAATAAACTGTATAACATTAAAATACTCTCTAGAACTGTTGCAGTCACATCAGGACCATCACACTCCTTTAGCCTTGATTTAAACTGTTCTCTCTGTGGACTCTAGTGAATGAGCTCTTCCCTTGGTTTTCATTTTATAAGATGACTTCTTTAGTAAGAGGTGAATCCAGTTCACTACCTGGATTAAAAGCTTATTCTTCTAATGACAAAAATGTGACACAACTCTGCTTCTGTCCTCCAGGTTTGGTAAAAAGAAAGAAGACAAAAACAAAGATACAGCAAAATCAACCAAGGGTAAACTGGAGGTCCTGAGTGAAGAGGACGTGTCCAGGGTCCCTGACACCAGAGATGGGTATGAATCAAACCCCTCATTCACTCTGTTAACAAACATCCATCACTGACTTCTGTCTGCAGCAAATGTTAAAGACCCAGTTTATGGACACTGTATCTGACGTCACATCTCTGTGGCTCTGCTTCTTGCTTTCTTTACAATAACAGTTATGACCCACGTTATGCCGATGTCCACTCTGGCCACGCCACCCCCGACACCGGTTCCTTCCCTGACATGGATGACGATGACATGGACCCCAACTACGCCCGCATCGACAACTTCCGGCAGCCAACGTCGCCTCAGTCGTTCAACACTCGAACGCCCTCCCCCGCAGCAGCGGTGGCTCCTCAGCAGCCACAGCCCTCTGTGGAGGAGCTGGACGGACTCTACGCCAGAGTCAACAAGAGCAGACCACCACAGGTGCAGGCAAACAGGTGAGTTCAACAGGCTGATTAAGAATGAAGACTTTTTTTATATAGTTTAACCTCTTCACTGCTGGGTGTTCTGTAAATGTCACACATGTTGCCTAAACCAGCACATATGGACTGACCACGAGCAAATACAC